TTACTTTATCAGATAATCCCCTCCTTACCGATTGCTTGAAGTCTGCTAAACCATCGGGCAGTGTTTGGAAAGAAATTGGGAAAGGTTGGGTTTGAAGCACCAATTAAATCCAGTAACACGAACAGATCCTGTGGGGATAAAAGAAACATGAAAACTTTTAGCTTCATTTAAAAAGTCTTTTAAGGAAATGATATGCCATATTACTTTATCAGATAATCCCCTCCTTACCGATTGCTTGAAGTCTGCTAAACCATCGGGCAGTGTTTGGAAAGAAATTGGGAAAGGTTGGGTTTGAAGCACCAATTAAATCCAGTAACACGAACAGATCCTGTGGGGATAAAAGAAACATGAAAACTTTTAGCTTCATTTAAAAAGTCTTTTAAGGAAATGATATGCCATACTGACAGCTTGAGTGCAAATAGGACTTCACTACTTTAATTCGATATATCTGACCAAAAAACCCCAAATCAAACCAAAAAACAGTAATCAACTCACTATGAGTGAAGAGAACTAATGAGAGGCAGGAGTGAGGGTTAACATACAATAGTACGTTTAGCCAAGAAAAAAAAGATTTGAAAAATGCAATGAGCAAGATTCAGACCTAGTGTGAGCAGCTGCAACTCAAACTTTCTCCTTCAGAAAGAATAAAAGCAAGTTGTCTCTGGTTGTCCCTGCTTTTCCTCTGAAGTGGCACAGGAAGGAGAAGCAGAAAGCAAATAAGGCCTCTTAAAAAAAAAAATCCATTAACTGGTAGAGTTCTCCCTTGGTGGAATTTGGCTCATTTCTCAGCACTTTTTTTGTATTAGTTGTATGGTATTGAATCAATTTGTAAATTAAAGGAGTTTTTACTTACAATGCCCTGTAGCTGATTGGTGTCTGTTGCACCAGCTGGATGTGGAGTAGATGCCATTTTCTGGGCTAAGTGTCGAGATCCATAAAGGGAATCGATGGGAGACCACTGCACAAAGGCTTCTTCGCCATCAAAGAAAATCAGTTGAAGTGAAAGATCTGGCCTAGAGGCTGAGCTGTTCTGTGGAGGAATGTCAGAAGCAATGTCACATTTGTTTTCTGTGGAGATACAGATTGATACAAGGTCTGATCCTGAAGCTCTTTCTCATGAGTAGTCCTTTTGTAAATACTCACATAAAAGGTCCACCAGAATCAGACTATTTTCAAACTTACTCAAACCTTCCCAATGGAAGCTGCAATGCTTCATAACCACAGTATTGGTAAATAAATATACGAGAGCGGCCAGTCAGCAGGTTTCTTAATGATTTTGCGGACCACTTTGAGAAACACTGCTTTATGAGGATTATTGAAATGACTAGAAATGTTGCATGTCTGACACACATGAGGATGAATGCAATAACTTGAGAGAGGTCTACAGAACCAGATGCTCGAAATATTTAATGTCATCTGAGACTAGCATTTGCGCTAATCCTTGATATGAGAAAGCAGACTCATAAATGAGCCGTGGGTTTTCTCATGTTTGTGTGTACTGATTCTCATGAAAACAATGAGGAACAAAGCACATACAATCATTTAAAATAATGACTCTTTTCCTGCGGGATGACACGCAACCAACTATAGGACCTTACTCTGACCCTTAATCTGCCCTTTTGGGAGTCACCCAGACCAGCAGAGGGTTCTGTCACCACCTGTTTTGTAACTTTGGATGCTTTAAATCTATGCCACTATCCTGGCATGCCAATTTATGATTATTTAGAATGGGGACATTTTAGATAGGCTGTTTTAATGTTGTCCCACTAATCCTAATGGCTCAAAGTTTGTCTTTTCCTGGAATGTATAATGATTGGTGCTTGCAGTTAATCTCATAGGATTGGGGAAGCAATCCCTTCCTGCGTGATTGCTTCATTGCCTTGCTGTGAGGTGGAGCTAAATGTTGCAGAACAAATCATGAGAGCACAGCTCTATACATATACAAACTTACAGCATAGTCTATGTATATAATGGCCATCAAATTCAGAACATTATAAGCTTTCATAAAAAAAACCTTATTTGACACATTTTTATACCCAATACAACTGTACACAACCAACTGATTCAGTTGCTTACTCTTTGGGATTTTGACCCCGTCCTCCCTTTGCAGTGGGTGGACACCGATTACCACACAATATTTCACTGACAGGGGCTGTGTGCAGGCTCTGCTGAAAGTTAAGAACTAGCTGATTGTCATGGTTATTGGGTGAAGTTTGTACAGGAAGTAATTTTAGTTCTGCAGGATACTGAGTTTCAAAACTGTTGAAGTGAAACTTATCTGAAGCAAGGCAGCTCTCAGGGCTAACTCAACACTGAGAGCCATGATGTCCCTGGAGCCCACCTAGTGTTTACTGTTTAGTGAGTTCAAGTGCATGCTTGAGGATTTACCAAGAAACACCCCAAAATGTCTCTGAATAAGAGTCTCCCAGGGATAAGAAAGAGTCGTCTGTCATTATGTAAGAAACGAAGAAAAAGCTCAAGTTGTTATCCCCACTGGCAGAGTTTCTCCTGGTTAATGGATATTTCATGAAAGGTGTATCCTAGTTTTCTGGACTGGACAAATGCTGTAAAGCTAATTCATTGAATGAGAAATACCTTATTACCCAGGAAAGTAAGTTGTTACTAAGCATAGGCTACAGCTATTATTTTTCATAATAAAACACAATAGAACAAGAGGAGTATCAAACCTATTCCAGGAAAAGGTCTAAATTCCATTTTTAATTCAGTCCATGGTTATCCTACATGCACAGTTGGCTGTGTTAGGTTTCTTTTTAAAAATCATGGTACTGAATACCCTATGGTTAGAAATCTTTTTTTAAATTCTCCAGTCTTCAACTAAGTATAAATGTATCATTTCCATTGCATGCAATGGAACTACTCAAACCACTCTAATACCATTGTGCATCTATCAATGCTTCCTCATTTTTTATGATGTCGTTAAGTTCTTCTGCAGTAATATACCTGGGTCCCAGTTCAGTTCCCATTAAAATCAGTAGGAGGAGGATCAGGCCTGTGCTTATAGAGAGAGAGAGAGAGAGAGAGACATATAGAAGCCATATAAGATTCAGCTATCTCAGAAGCATGCAATAGAGGAAAAACATGTACCGTCATTGACTGAAGCTGGCTGTCCAGGGCACGTATCAGCTCCAGTAACATAGCACAGGGCACAGCTGAGTCAGTGGCTCCCACAAACACTGTGCCATCCCACTGTGGACTGAAGTATTTTGAGTCATAGTGGCAAGCAAGTACCAGATGGCGTTTGGCAAAGGGATTGAGGGTGCTGATGATATTTGAGAATGTTCGGTATCCATAGGGTGTGTATGCCTGAAATGTATCTTCCTTAACTACCCAGCCAGCCTGCAACCTTTGAATACGATGCTTGATATGCTGGAATTGGAAACAGAAAATACATTAATATTAATATTATTCCACTTTAAACAGATGTTTGCAAACAAACTAGATCAGTAGCTAGTTTACAGTATCAGCTCTTTAATTTTTCTGCAAGGGATATTGTATTTATAATAAGCATTTTCAGTGGCCAGGCAGGTAATGGTCTGATTTCTTGTGGTCATGACCATCATTGTTTCACTGCTATCTTCTCCACTGTCTCTCCATTTGCTTGGCCTCTCCTCTAGTTGTCTCTTATTACATGCAAAGATTCTAAAATCTTTGGGACAGGGATTACCTTTTACTATAGATTTGTAAAGAATCTAGCATAATGATCACCGATTGCAGCCTTTAGGCACTTCTGCAGTAACAATAAGAATGTTGTTTGCTTCCCACAAGAAATGTGCCTTACAAATAGCAAGTTATTTGAGTAAGGCTCACAAGTTCAATAGGAAACAACTAAATAGTCTCTTCACTATAAACTAAAGAATGGGACACACTGGAGAAGAACTAACTTAAAAATGGAATCATGCAAAATATAATTCAGTGTGAGGACAACAATGAAGATAGTGGAACGTGTACAATAGACTCATAATAGCCAACTTCCTTCCTTTGAGAGATGACTCTAAAATATCCCCAAATGGATTCAGAACAGAAAGTTATGCATCATAGACTCATAGACTTTAAGGTCAGAAGGGACCATTATGATCATCTAGTCTGACCCCCTGCACAGTGCAGGCCACAGAATCTCACCCTCCCCTCCTAGAATAATCCTCTCACCTATATCTCAGATATTGAAGCCTTCAAATACTTTGAAGACCCCAAGATGCAGAGAATCCTCTAGCTGTGATCTGTACCCCATGCTACAGAGGAAGGCGAAAAACCTCCAGGGCCTCTGCCAATCTACTCTGGAGGAAAATTCCTTCCCGACCCCAAATATGGCAATCAACTAAACCCTGAGCATGTGGGCAAGACTCATCACCCAGAAAGTTCTCTATAGTAACTCCTATCATCCCTCCATTGACCTATTCCCACTGATAATGAATGGTCAATTAGTTACCAAGATCATGTTATCTCATCAAACCATCCCCTTCATAAACCCATCTAGTTTAATCTTGAAACCAGATAGATCTTTTGCCCCCACTACTTCCCTTGGAAGGCCGTTCCATAACCTCACTCCTACTAGCCAGCTTATATCCATTTGTTCTTGTGTCCACATTGGTATTAAGCTTAAATAATTCCTCTCCCTCCCTGGTATTTATCCCTCTAATATATTTAAAAAGTGCAATCATGTTCCCCCTCAGCCTTCTTTTGGTTAAGGTAAACAAGCCAAGCTCCTTGAGTCTCCTTTCATAAGACAGGTTTTCCATTCCTCGGATCATCTTAGTGGCCCTTCTTTGTACCTGTTCCAGTTTGAATTCATCCTTCTTAAACATGGGAGACCAGAACTGCACACAGTATTCCAAATGGGGTCTCACCAATGCCTTGTACAATGGCACTAACACCTCCTTATCCCTACTGGAAATACCTCGCCTAATACATCCCAAGATCATATTAGCCTTTTTCACAGCCATGTCACAATGGCGGCTCATAGTCATTCTATGATCAACCAGGACTCCGAGGTCCTTCTCTTTATTTGAGAAGACCATCTCTGTTAAACAACTTATTAGTATTGCTCTCTTGAGTTATTCTCCTAAGGACATTTTTCTCTCTATTTAAATAAATAGTGAAAAAAAAGTCTCTATAAGGGGGGTAAACTAGCAGACAGTTAAGAGCCACAGCCAGCTCCTATTAAGGTTAATAAGGATATGTCTACACTACAAAGTTAATTTGCACTAACAGCTGTTAGTTCGAATTAACTTCCATAGGCGCTACACAGGCAAACTGCTAGTTTGAACTTAATTTGAACTAGCAGAGCACTTAATTCGAACTAGGTAAACCTCATTCTACAAGGACTAACGCTTAGTTCGAATTAAGTAGTTCAAATTAAGGGCTGTGTAGCCACTTAATTCGAACTAGTGGGAGGCTAGCCCTCCCCAGCTTGACCTGGTGGCCACTCTGGGCATAACCAGGGAAACTCGTCTGCCCCCCTCTTGGCCCCGGAGCCCTTAAAGGGCCACGGTCTGGCTACGGTGACCGTGCCAGGTGCAAGCCTGCCAGCACCCAGCCAGCAGACCCTGCACCTGGCCCGGCACGAGCCAGCCACCCGCTGCCACCCAGCCCCTCCGCCTCTTCCTGGGACCACTGTCCTTTGTAGTGGCTGTGTTATCTGTAACACAGTAGTAACATTTAACAGCTAAGTTTACCCTGTAACAATAAAATGGTAACTGTTTAAGCTGTGACCTGACTCCTTCAGTTGCTGTAACTGAACCAAGCACCATTTTAAAAAGAACTCCAGCCGGTCATAAGGGACAGATATGGGGAGAGCTTGAGTGTTGGATCGTGTCGCTTCCAGGGGACAGATCCGTTGGGGCATCTCTCAGCCTCCCCCGGCTGCCTGCTGCGAAGGGATCATGTATCCTAGCAGTCAAAATCTGAGGTGTAATAGGCTCTCCCTGTAAACTCTGGGGCATCTGTTGGCTGCCCGCCACGAAGGGATCCCGATCCTAACGGTAAAGACATGGACGTTAAACTCCTCGGGGCGCCCGTCAGTCTCACTTAGACTGCCCACTGCAACGGGGCCTTGTGTCTCAGCAGTTGAAGACTCAGGTGTAACACACACACATGCACTCCCCTGACCATCAGCTGACAACATCTCAGCCCACTGACTGAATTAAAGTAGAATTTAGAGCTTTCCACAGAATGTGTTTGACAGACATCCCTGCTGTTCTGTTCTGTTTTACCAAAACTCCTCCACTACATGCTGACAAAGGAGAATACTTCTATGTTGCATAGGGCTCTTTTTCATACATTGATATTACCAATAGCAGCAAAAAAGCCTCCCCTTCTCTCCCCCCTCCCCCCCCCAACACACTTGAGAATGCCATATGGTTACCATGTCTCGGATTCTGCTCTGTTATTTTTTCCTTTCATTTGGCTGACAGCCAGTAAATCACCTAGGAGCCCTCAGAGCTGGATACTATGGATACCAGTGACAGTCAAACTTCATTTTTCCACTCCACCAATTACAGATTGGCAAGTTCAGTTATTGGACACAAAGGGTTATGTGTTGGTACTGTTAAGTCACAGCCTGTATGGCTGGTTAGGAGCACAGAGTGGTTCCACGCTGGTGAGAATCCCATGGGGTGTTCTGGCTGACTCAGTCACACACACCCCAAGACCATGTAACAGATGTTTGTTTACCCCTGAAATGCAGAGTCAACTCTGCTAGTTGGTGTGGAAACAATCCACCTTTGAACCCTCTTCACCCTCTGTAGAGTGTTTAGTAGCTCCAGCAGCAGAAGACTCCTAATCCTTGTAATCAGGTAGCACAAGGAATGATATGAGGAAGTGGTTCTGGCACACAAAAGCTCATGACCTATTAAACCATCTTGTTAGTCTTTAAAGTGCTACATAATTTTTCCTTTTGTTGTAGCACACAGGTTAAAGTTGGGCTGGTCCTTAAAAGGGGTGAAAGGGTAGCTTGTGCCTTTTCCCCTTGTGTGTGCACTTATACAGAACTAACCTACTAAAGAATACCAAAAAACCTCCAAACAAACCCTAAAACAACTACACATGAAACTCCCTGCTACTACTCAGGAACAAATCTATACAAATACACACCTAGATCCCCAACCAGCTATTTTCTATCTGCTACCCAAGATCCACAAACGTGGAAATCCTGGATGTTCCATCATCTCAGGCATTGGCATGCTTACAACTGAATTATCTGATTATGTTGACTCTCTCCTCTAACCCTATGCTACCAGTACTTCTAGCTAACTTTGAGACACCACTGACTTCCTGAGGAAACTACTGAACATCAGTAATCTCCCTGAAAATACCATCCTGGCCACCAGGGATGTAGAAGAAAGAGTTACTCATGGTGCTTCTTCGAGAGGTGTCCCCGCGGGTGCTCCACTCTGGGTGCTGGTGTGTCCTCACGCCGGTGACCGGAGATCTTTCTAGCTGTTTCCACCGTGCCGCGCATGCGCCAGAGCATCCCCCGTGTTGTTGGAATCTGTTAGGCATGCGTGCGCGGCGCGGCTCCTCCATTCCTTCTGTACCCCATCAGAACCAAGGGCTCTGAGTCGGGGAAGGAGGGAGGGTAGTGGAGCACCCACGGGGACACATCTCGAAGAAGCACCGTTACTGCACAAGGTGAGTAACTTTCTTCTCCTTAGAGGTCCCCATGGGTGCTCCACTCTGGGTGACAACGCAGCAGTTGTTGACCCGAGGAGGTGGGTTTGGAGCCCTGTGTTAGTCACTGTGGACAATACTGCCTGTCCTACTGCCATGGAAGATGCAATTGAGGAAGAGAGAGCATAATGTTGTGCAAAAGAATGGTTCGAGGACCAGGTTGCATCGTTAGAGAGATCCTGTAGAGGGACGATGCTGAGGAAGGTGGTAGTGGAGGACATCGCCCTGGTGGAATGTGCTGTAAGTGTTTCAGGTAAGTCTTTGTTGTAAAGTACATAACGTGTTCGGATGCACAAAGAGATCCATTTAGAAATCCTCTGTGACGAGACCGCTTGTCCTTTGGACCGTTCCGCATAGGACAAAAATAGTCGCAGGGAATGTCGCCATGGTTTGGTGCGGTCAAGATAAAAAGCAAGCGCCCTGCGACATCCAGAGTGTGCCAAACCACTTGAACTGGATTGGCATGAGGCTTTGAAAAAAATGCAGGTAAGTATATAGGTCCATTGACATGAAAGGACGAAAGGACTTTGGGGAGGAATTTAGGGTGTGGTCAAAGTATCACCCTATCTTTAGTGAATACTGTATAAGGGGGATCAGCCATCAGTGAGGTGAGTTAACCTCCAGTAGAAGGGTGAGTGATCGCCACGAGGAATGAGACTTTCATCGATAAATGAGACCAGGTGCAGGTTGCCAGTGGTTCA